TGCACGTAGCGCACCCTTATACCCTGCACTCTGCACGTAGCGCACTCTTATACCCTGCACTCTGCACGTAGCGCACTCTTATACCCTGCACTCTGCACGTAGCGCACTCTTATACCCTGCACTCTGCACGTAGCGCACTCTTATACCCTGCACTTCTGCACGTAGCGCACTTTTATACCCTGCACTCTGCACGTAGCGCACTCTTATACCCTGCACTCTGCACGTAGCGCACTCTTATACCCTGCACTCCGCACGTAGCGCACCCTTATACCCTGCACTCCGCACGTAGCGCACCCTTATACCCTGCACTCAGCGCACACTTAAACCCTGCACTCTGCACGTAGCGCACCCTTATACCCTGCACTCAGCGCACACTTAAACCCTGCACTCTGCACGTAGCGCACCCTTAAACCCTGCACTCTGCACGTAGCGCACCCTTAAACCCTGCACTCTGCACGTAGCGCACCCTTAAACCCTGCACTCTGCACGTAGCGCACCCTTAAACCCTGCACTCTGCACGTAGCGCACCCTTAAACCCTGCACTCTGCACGTAGCGCACCCTTAAACCCTGCACTCTGCACGTAGCGCACCCTTAAACCCTGCACTCTGCACGTAGCGCACCCTTATACCCTGCACTCTGATAAAGAGTAGATACATAATCTTACATATACAACAGGCCCTTTGAGGGCAGCCAAAACTGCTGATGCAGTCCCCAATGAATTGTAGTTTGACACCCCTAGTCTAGGGGAACTATAAGGCCTGGTTCAAACCTATGCAATTTTCAATTTAACATGGTTTTCTACGGGTCACATTCACATTTTCAGTGTTTTCCACAGGTGTGTTTTTTTTGGGAAAGGGTCATGGACTTTATTTTTCCCCGCAGCAAGTTGCGTTTTTGGTTCCATAGACTTCAATGGAAATGCAGCGGAAACACATCAAAAAAGCATAAACAAAAACGCAAGCACTGATGTGTTTCTGTGTTTTTACTGGTTTCTCCCGCAAAAAAAACAGACACTTCCCAAAAATGCAAAACACATTAAAAATGCGTCAAAAACATGTCTGAAAAAAAAAAAAAAAGCACCAGGAAAAAGCATCAACCATAATCTGCATAGATGTGAACCAAGCCTAAAGGAAGATTTAATTACCTGATCCTCCCCTGCTGCTTGACCGGTCCCCCCCGCAGCATCTTCTCCCCCACGCTCCAGAGGTCTAGGTACCTGACATAATCAAGACCAAATCAGGGTCCACAGCCCTGCATTGGACGTGATGACACCGAAGAACAGTCCACCTCTGGAGTGTGGGAGAGTGCCATCTGCTTGGGGAGCGGAGGATCTGGAAAGTAAAATAGTTTCTCTTCTTTCCTACACAAAAAGAGCAATTAACCCTTGCAGTGTGGGCAAGCAAAATGGTTACAGGCTGTGCTATTCTGTCATGTTTATTAGTTCAATTTAAATCACAATAAAAATAAAAGAAATGTGTTTCTGTTCCCATCACTTGTGCATATATATATATATATATATATATATATATATATATATATATATAAATAAATCAAAATCATGAAGAATGGTCCACGTCATACAAATAAAGGTATGAGCAGAGCGGTATATCCTATGTACAGAATATATACAATTAACTGCCTCAATCTGCCAAGTATTTTATCATCAGCTGCCAGTGGATGGACCATGTGGTGAGGGCGCCCCCTGATGTTCATTTTAGCCTATTACATGTCAAGGAAGATTGAGCACTAAATTGAATGTCTGGACACAATGCAGAAGCTGGTTCTCTCTGGGCCAGGGTGTGGCAGAGGTGGAGTTACAGCAGAAAAGCTGAGAGGGTGTGGCAGAGGTGGAGTTACAGCAGAAAAGCTGAGAGGGTGTGGCAGAGGTGGAGTTACAGCAGAAAAGCTGAGAGGGTGTGGCAGAGGTGGAGTTACAGCAGAAAAGCTGAGAGGGTGTGGCAGAGGTGGAGTTACAGCAGAAAAGCTGAGAGGGTGTGGCAGAGGTGGAGTTACAGCAGAAAAGCTGAGAAGATATAAAGGTGGAGACCAGTGATGATTCAGATTTACATGTAAGGTCAGAATAATCTGACCATTCCAAATTACGCTAGCAGAATGACAGGCAGAATGTGATCGGCTGATGTGGACACCACGTACAGTTCCTCCTTTAGACACTTACTCAATGAAGTGTCTGCTGCACAGAGCAACTGCATTCCAGCTACAGACAATGAAGCAGATAGCACAGGTGATGGCCAGTGTCTATCAGGAGTCTGCATACACTCAAGTTTCTTTCGGTACAGGCTCTGTCAATATCCTCTTTGCCCAAATGTACAGAAACCTTCTGGCCCCTCCCACCAACCATGATCTGCCTGCCTTGCATATAGAAGCACAGAGACCCAGTGATGGTTGTCATTGCATCTATAATGAGGTATGTAATAAAAAAAAAAAGAAATGTTTTACTTCAGGTCATTAGCATGTTGATGAGGGAGGAAAAGAGGAACCAGGTAAGGAAGGTAAAATGTAAGCATCATAAACTGCCCACAAATGGTAAATGTGAAATTATCCTATACAATATTCCTAATTATAGAATAATTCTGTTTGTTTTTAGTACAAAGAAAAAAGAAATTACAAAAAAATATAAATATTTCCAAGTTTCTGCCGTATAGACATATGTAACCTGCTGTAATGCATTCTGTCCTTTGTGTGATGGGAAGGGGGTTGGAGTGGCTATATGTTCCCCTCTGAAGTTCGTTTGACTTTGCTACACTGGTCTTGAACTCTTCATTGACTATTACTAGAACTGGTGTCAACAGGTGAGTGGAGCTTGGTCCAGACATCGGGTCCTTCGTAACAGAGAGGTGCACAGAGGAGGGTGTTCTGGCTAATACAGGATATCTGTGGGGGGGGGGGGGGGGTATGTCACCTTTAAAAGCTTACATTGTCTGACATATCCACTTATCTATAGCCCACATTTACCAAAATGTCTGAAATAAGAACTGATTGTGATGTCTCACAGCATCCTGATTTATACATTTACACACAAAAGCAGGGGAGAAACACTTGCAGCTGATTGAAAAAAAAAATCCCATTTCCATCTAGTGTGTGACTGGTAGAAATGCAGTCAAACTACATATAAAATGCTTCAATGCCTGGTCACTAGAGTGTTTTTTTTTATCATCACCAAGGCAACCAGAATATTTCCATCCCTGTTCAGAACTCAAACTTGTACAGCTTTGAATCTGATTGGTAGATGGAAGGCAGTACAGACTTTTCTTATATAGAGGTCTGTGGGAAGTGGGCAAATATAGCAGTCATGCAAAAACAGACCTTTACTGCCCCCTGCTGACTGATTTGAGGTATCACAACAGGAGACATGCTGAAAGAATACTAAACAGTCTTTTAATTAACAATACCTGGAAATAAAATCTACATAGCAGATTATTACATACTGTGATGAGAAGGATTGGGGAGGGGGTCCCTGAAACCCCTCTCTCCCTCTGCACTCCAATATCTCCCATCTCCTCCATGACATTTTCAATTCCCCCATTTCTCATCCAATCCCCACAACTCCATGTTTCTTCTGATCCCCCCCCCCAGCTTCCCTATGTCCCTTCTGATCCCCCCTCCCCCAGCTCTCCATCATGTCTCTGATCCCCCCCAGCTTGCCCACATCTCCTCCAATCTCTCCAACTGGCCCATGTCTCCCCCAACCCCTTCCCCACACTTTCCTATGTCTCCTCTGATCCCCCTAGTTTTCCCATGTCACCTGTGACCCCAACAAGCTTCTCCACATCTCCTGTGATTCCCCCTCAACTCCCTCCTGCTTCCCCATGTCTAATACAACAACCCCGCCCCCCCCCCCAAAAAAAAAACCCTATATCACTTCCATCTCTCCACTTCCCCCACGTCTCCTCCAGTCTTCCCAGTGTCCCCATATTTTCTCCAATCCTTCCAGTTCACCCATGTCTCCTCCAATCCCCCCAGCTCCCCCATATCTCCTCCAATCCCCCCCAGCTCCCCCATATCTCCTCCAATCCCCCCCCAGATCCCCCATATCTCCTCCAATCCCCCCCCCAGATCCCCATGTCTCCTCCGACTCCCCGAGCTCCCCCATATCTCCTTTGACTCCCTGAGCTCCCCCATGTCTCCTCTTCTCCTCTGACTCCTCCAGCTCCCCCACGTCTCGTCAGATTCCTCAAGCTCCCCCACGTCTCGTCAGATTCCTCAAGTTTCCCCCATGTCTCTTCCGACTCCCCCATGTTTCCTCCGAGTCCCCCAGCTCCCCCGGGTCTCCTCCGATTTCCCGCGCTCCCCCGGGTCTCCTCCGATTTCCCTCGCTCCCCCGGGTCTCCTCCGATTTCCCCCGCTCCCCCGGGTCTCCTCCGATTTCCCCCCCTCCCCCGGGTCTCCTCCGATTTCCCCCCTCCCCCGGGTCTCCTCCGATTTCCCCCCCTCCCCCGGGTCTCCTCCGATTTCCCCCCCTCCCCCGGGTCTCCTCCGATTTCCCCCGCTCCCCGGGTCTCCTCCGATTTCCTCCATGTCTCATTTGATTTCCCATGTTTCCTTCAATTCCCCTAGCTCCCCCATATCTCCTTTGACCTCTCCAGCTCTCTCACATCACCTCCAATCGCTCTTAGCATTCCCAAATTTCCTTCAATCTCCCTAGCTCCCTCCTGTCTCCTGCGATCCCTAATGTTTCCTCTACTCCCTCCAACTACCCCAGGTCTCCACCAATCTCATCAAAGGATTGAAGTCTGCATAGCCAGATACAATCAACTGTCCCTCATCTCCAGCCAGGTCCCTCCAGAGTGTAGATCCAAGACCATGGCTGCGACCATCCATGAACTGAGTACAATACCCTGCACTGTACGTGATAGCTTTATCAGAAAATATGGGAAAGAAAAAAAAATGAAAGGCTTGAGAAGCCTCTCCACTCACTAAACTCACCAAAGAGCAGATGGACAACATGCAATTTTCAAGAGGGGAGCAGAAGGAATCTTACCATTTTGATGGAAGTTCTGGCCTTCTCCTTCCAGGGGGCACTACTGACGTCTAGTGTGCATTGAATGTACGTTTCCTGGTCATAGGAGCCGAACATCAACAACCTGAAGAGAGATTAAACTGCATGATCAGCACTATGCACTGAGGATATTGTACCAGCAGGTGGCATCATCATACACTACACACCTATATCCCCCCCTAAGATTATGATTACTCATCTATTATTTATCTATAGTATTAAACATTCATATAGCTCTGACATATTCCATAGAGCTGTACAAAGAACAAGGCGCCATTCACATTAGTCTCTGCACCAGAGGAGCTTACACTCTAATGTCCCACCACAGTCATACATTACTATTATTATACATATAAATAGCTCTGATTTATAAGAGAAAAAGTTCATGGATTATATTGACTTTCCTTTCTCTGCAATGATCGGTCAGACAGCGGCCTCTCTGAATGGGACACATAATAGAGAGGACATTGCTGTCACACTTTCCTTGTTATAATGGATTTGGTCCTCAGACTCCCCTTTTTATGATGTTTTAGTGCCAGGACAATGGTGACCCCCAAAATATAATGGTTTTATTTCACACTGAGGAGGAATATGGAAGGTCACTGGGCCATATTCTATAGAATGGTACCATACTTTGCAGTACAAATATAATAAGACAGCAGGGAGGAGGAGATTTATTACACTGATAATACATGGCTATCTGTACTGTACTTTGCTCTATTTAGAGACTACACAAGACTTGTGTACAGGAAAGGCAGCTCGAATCTTCCCTGACACACTTAGCGGATAGGGCTGGGGCCTAATATATACATTAAAGCAAACTATAAAAACCCATTTAAATATATTACAATAAAACTCTGCAAATGTCTAGGACACCACAGACTTGGGGACAGAACTAATCAGGGGCTGAAAGCTTCATGCTTGTAAATGATTGGACGGCCCTTGGGGGTTGGTTCAGGTGTGTGTCAGGGGTGTCTTTTGAGTCCTCTGCTATACGCATTTGCAATCGATCCCTTCCTTCACAGGTTAGAGAACGGACTGTTGTGTGGAGTTCCTTTGGGCATTCCTGGGGAACCTCCTCTGAGGGTTGTGGGCTATGCTAATGACGTGTCTGTTTTCATCTCTGGGACACAGGAGGCAGAGGAGGTGGTCTCAGTGATGGAATAGTATGCTGAGGCATTTGGCTCAAAGATCAATCAGGATAAGAGTGAGGTTTTCTGGATGGGAGAGGAAGGTGAAGGCTTTACCCTTCAGGACGCCTTCTCAGAGCCCCGGCAGGAAATTAAGAGTTTTAGGCAACAGATTTGGTCCCGGTGATTACGGACTTGCAAATTAGGTAAGCAGAATACCGATGCCAAGGTTGCTAGCTGGAGGGATTGAAAACTCTCTTACAGGGAAAGGATTGACCTTATTAAAACTTACTTGATCCCGGTATTTCTGTAGTACAGCTTTGTCTGTGTTTTGCCAGTGTCTCTCTATAGGGTCTACAGTTGTTTCTTCCAGCTGTTATGGTGGAACAGACTGAACTTCATTAAGAGGTCTGTTACCTACCTTCCAAGGTGGATGGGTGGCCAAGGTATGGTCAACCTGGTGGTTTTCTTTTCTCTGATGTTTTTGAAACCTAATTTTGGTAGCATGCTGGCAGAGGAACTGCCTGGGTGGGTTGGTATTTTACAGTCCTGGTTTAGGCCTTTTCTGCAGAGCTGGGAGAATGGTGGTCCAGTGAAAAGCCTGAGGGTCCAACATGGTAAGCTCCCGACTTATGTTGCCCCGTGCCTCAAAATGCTTGAGAGCAATGGCGAGTGACAGCGGAGGAAATTAAGTCTCTTCCTAGGAAGGCCCTGAGGAGGAGGGTTGTTGAATCTGCCTTTAGCGAGCCATTGACCTTGAGGGATTGCCCAGGCCCGGTTATGAGGGAGGGTCTGCGTTTGATGAATCTGGAGAGAATCCCTTTAAAGTTTCGGGATTTGGCCTGGCTCTCATTCCATGGCAGACTCCATGTGAAGGGCAAACTGAAGCACTGCTCTGCGGAGAACCATGGTTGTCCAAGAGTGGAGTATGGTGGGGTGGAGGAGACGATGTACCATTTCTTGCTTCAGTGCCCCTTCAATATAGAAGTCTACAAGCGGGTGGGTGGGGGCTCTGGGTATCCCTTTCCTGCTTGATTTATGTGGAGTGGTCTTACGCAGCCTTTCAAACTCATCGGGACTTTGATTTTGAGACACTTTTTCTAGTTAGCTTAGCAGTCCGTTACTACATGTGGAATGCACGGTGTCAGGTTTTAATTCGCAAAAAGGTCCTTCCTGTCGAGGTGGTGGTGCACAACATTCCGGGTGAGGTTGGGAAGATTCAGGGTCTTGAGAAGGACGGGTAGCGGCCAGGGGCCTGGACAAAGACGTGGAGGAATATCAGGTCCCCATAGCGGCTGTCTGTCATTCTCTGGGGGCGTGGCTTCTCTTTCTGTCCTTGCACGTCCCCTAGATCTTTGTAAGATCAGATTTTTGAAAAAAGGCTGCATGCATGGGATCAATGTTTAATCGTCCCTTAGCCTGAGGGTGTGTTTAGGTGAAGGTCGACTTTGTTGAGATACATTATAAAGATAATAATATTAAATTATCATTGGTTCTCTTTATGTTTTTCCCAGCAAAAAAAGCCATTTTCCTGTTTTCTATGCTGAAGTAAGCTACTTTTGTTTAAATAAATATATATATTTTTCTGTTTATATGTAAATATGTTTTTTATTATGTTGCTTGTTTATACATTTTTGTTTATTAAAAATCTTACACTCTAATGTCCCCACCACAGTCATACATTACTGTGTATGACATAATGGTTTTATTTCACACTGAGGAGGAATATGGAAGGTCATTGGGTCATAGTCTATAGAATGGTGCCATACTTTGCAGTACAAATATAATAAGACATCAGGGAGGAGGAGATTTATTACACTGATAATACATGGCTATCTGTACTGTACCTTGCTCTATTTAGAGACTACACAAGACTTGTAGGAAAGGCAGCTCGAATCTTCCCTGACACACTTAGCGGGTAGGGCTGGGGGCCTAATATATACATTAAAGCAAACTATAAAAACCCATTTTAATATATTACAATAAAACTCTACAAACTTCTAGGACACCACAGACTTGGGGACAGAAATCAGAGAAAATTTACTACAAAATCTGAAATAGCCAAAATCTGATGATCGCGCACTTCCTTGTATGATCACATGATCATTGATATTTTCAGTTCCATGGGAATGCAGGATCCCCTTTGCAGAGCCCTGGAACATTGAAAGATCCTTCTGAGAGCAGTTTCTCCTCAGCCCCTAATACTCACCTGAGTTTGATCCAGCAATGTGCACGAGAGCAAAAATTCTCTCGACTCTCTCACTTCTCATTGGCTCAGACAAAGCAGTGGGAGACATTGGCTTCCACTGCTATCAATCATAGCTAGTGAGGAGGGATCAGGGGCTGGACTGACCTGCGCTGTGTGTCTTATAGACACACAGAGGCAGCTTGGGAGCGGGCACCATAGAAATCAGCTTGAACTAGTGGACACTCAGTGGGGAGATGGGGTGGGGGTTGGTGTTCTGGGAGAAACGCTTGGCAGGGGACCCAAGAAGAGGAGATCGGGGCTGCTCTGTTCAGAACCACTCTACAGAGCAGGTACGTATAATGTCTGTTATTTAAAAGAAAAGAAAAAAAAAAGAAAGCTTCAGAATCACTTTAAGGAACAATTTGGTGTGCTGGTGATATGCGATTTATTGGTCAGAGGTGATGGCACCATCCATCCGATTCCTACAGCATTCGTAATTCTGAAACTTGGTCCCTAGTATAGTTAGGAGTAAACGCCCTGGCGTGAAACGCGTCAATCAGCTTCCATGGATTTTTGTGATGTTGTCTAACTTTATAATGCATTTAACAGTTTGAATAAAGATGCAGCTTTTTACATGATGCTAGGGTGCGGTCATCCAACTTTCTCTGTAGGTCCTAAGTACTGTTTGGTGTGCAGCTGGGACTTCCAATTTCTTTTACGGTCACAAGACATATCCAGTACCATGTCCCCCAGCTGTTTCCTGAGCTCACGAATAGATACAGTATACACTGATCAGCCATAACATTATGCCACCAACCCACATAATATTGAGTAGGTCCCCCTTTTGCTGCCAAAACAGCCCTGACCCATCTAGGCATGGACTCCAGTAGACAAAGCATCACCTCCACCGGTTTGCCTTCCTCCCATAGTGCATCCTGGTGCCATCTCTTCCCCAAGTAAGCGACACAGATTCTCCCGGCCATCCACATGATGTAAAATAAACAAATGTGATCAGATCAGGCCACCTTCTTCCATTGCTCAGTGGTCCAGACTTGTTGCTTGTGTGTCTTTTGTAGGCACTTTTGGCTGTGGACACGGGTCAGAATGGGCACCCTGACTGGTCTGTGGCTACACAGCCCCATAAGCAAGAAATTGCAATGCAATGTGTGCTGACACCTTTCTATTGGAACCAGCATTAACATTTTCAGCAATGTGACCTACAGTAGCTTTTCTATTGGATCGAACACAGGCCAGCCTTTGCACCCATGTGCATCAATGAGCTTCGGCCATCCTTGACCCTGTCACTTGTTCACTGGTCTTCCTTCCTTGAACCACTTTTGGTCAGTTCTGACCACTGCAGACCGGGAGCATCCCACAATAGCTGCAGATTGCTGTTGTCCAGCCATTACAATTTGGCCCTTGGCAAAGCCACTCAAATCTTTACTCGTGTCCATTTATTTCTGCTTTCAAAACATTGGCTTCAGGGACAACATGTTCACTTACAGCCTAATATATTCCACCCACTTTCAGGTGCCATTGTCACATAATCAAGTTAATTCACTCTACTTGTCAGTGGTCGTAACTTTATGGCTGATCGTTGTATGTTGGTGAAGCGCTGGGCCCTAGAGTGGACAGAGATTGAAGAGTCAAAAACTAAACTTTTGGAGGAAGCTTTCTGTCAACCAGGGTAGTCCCTGGAGTAGTCTGCTGAGCATTCAAAGTATTGGAGACCCACAAAGCTTTATTCAGTTCAGCAAAAAAAAAAAT